ATTACGAAGAAAAACAAGAAATTTTTCAGCTTAAGTTGAGTATTTGTTGCAAATTTAATGATGATTTTCAACCTGGTTTTAGCATTCTACTGTAATTTTTATTTTCTGCATTTGTATGTCATGTTACCAAGGCTTATTGGGGCCTTGTGGCCGTTCGGGTTATTCAGTCGTCAACGTGATATGGATATTTTGTATAACGTGTTCTACAAGTTTGTGCCAAGGCTTATTGGGGCCTTGGGGATATACAAGTATGCAACTTTATATGGACATCTAGGTTCTCAATAGTTGTTTAACTGAGATTTTACATTTTTGCATGTTTGTATTGTTTAATGCGCTGCTTAAGCATCATGCCATTGTCCGGTTTTCTGATATTTGGTATAAGCAGAAAGAGTGTGTGTAACTCGAGTTAGATTTCTATTCCTAATTACATTGAATTACATAATTAAACAACCAGTAATTAAATTCTAGAATTTTGACTTTCAAAAAATTAGAAGAATAAAAAATGGCTAGAAAGACTCTGAATTAGGCTCAAACTCAAAAAATAGTGTGAAACAACAGAAATTAAAAGGTACCTATCAAAACAAGGTACCATGATTACAATATTCATACCAAAACAAGGTACCATGATTACAATATTCATACTTATACCACTTACATTAGTATCTACTAATTCACATGCATATGTTCTAAACATTACTGTCATGCATGTACAAAAAATTTACAGCCCCCCAACAATTAATGTTTCCAAAAAAATAACCTGATTTTAATTTACAACCTCCCAAATAAATGCAACTGCTTTCAATTCTAAACATTCTTCCACTTTTAAAGCTCTCAAAATGTAGTTGTCTTCAATGTTGATCTTAAATCCCCTGAGACATATTGTGTTCATTAATATCTTGTTGGATATTATTGACATCAATATGTCCCTCATCAATGAAACTACTTTGACCTTGAAGCATCAAATCCAATGGTACTTCAATTTGAATGGGCAACTGTCCCCTTCTTTCCAACCTTCTCTTTCCCTTGTGAGGGTTTTTGTTATCATTTCCGCCATTGACTTGAAGTATTTCAAGCATACAGTATTGCATGTGCAACCAATTGTAATTCAAAGACTTCGGATCATATGCATTGTATGCATTTTCAATTGCCTGTAGTAATTCTTCAAAAGTTCTTGCAAATTCCATGTATTGTATTGATTGAATTGCTCTAAAAAAACCCAAATCAAGAATGTTTGGGTCCGGGCTTTCAGCTGGCTGGGTTATAAGCTTGATGTTGAAACCATCCTTTGTTGCAGCTTCTACAAATACAAATGATTTAGGTTGGAATATACTTGGTGCTTGTGGCATCACATACTTGTAAGAGGAACCATGCTATGCCGTATTTCAGGTAAAATCTCGAGAATTCAATATTTTTTTTTTGTTTAAGCACAATAGATCTTATATGTTCTGGATTTATGTTGTGCCTTTATTCTATCTTTTGGGAAGTTATGTAGTGTTATATAAAGTTGCATAAATTATTCGCTGCTTGGACTTGTAAAGGCTACTTGTAATCAATTTCTTAATTGTGTAGTACAACCCTCCCTTTTCGTTGCTTCGCCTTTTTTTGGTGTTCTACAAGTATTTTTAGACACAAAATTAATGTTTCCTTCCCTCCATATTACTTGCAACAATAAGAGTTTCATGCTTGCTATTGCTATTGCACAATTTAAACTATTAACATCTTTGGTTACATTCTAGTAAAAATTATGAAGTTTAGATTTTTAATAAAGAACATATTGAGACGAATTCAACAAGATCCCACAAGACTATATTTTTTCTTTTGCATAAATCACATAAGGGAGAGTATAAATAGTGTTGGAATCCTAATGTTGCCACTAAAGTTGAGCAGAGGAAGTATATTAAATGATGAGATATCTATTTAGAATTTAAATTTTCTCCTAGTTTTTACTAGGCTTGTATTCCCCAACTATTAATATGCTACTTTCTACACAGGAATTATCCATCATTTGGATTATAGGCATGGTCTATCCTACGTCATTCAGAGTAGATTTACATCCTTGCATTGTAAACATCCGGAGCAGGAGCACAGGGATCTTACATCTCCTGGTCGGGATAGCTACGGAAGCTCTAGGTATGTCCAGCTATCAAACCAAAGTGTTGAAGATGTGTGCAAAATCTTAGAGAGTGGACCTTGGGGCCCTGGCATAGAGACAGCTTTACGTGGGGTCAGTGAAAAGCCTCACCAAGAATTAATCGTTGCAGTCTTAAAGAAGATGAAGGATGCTAATACAGCTATAAAATATTTTCGATGGACTGAGAGGAGCACTAACCAAGTGCATTGCCCTGAGGCATATAATAATCTCCTGATGATCATGGCTAGAAGTAGACAGTTCCATAATCTTGAAGAGATATTAGAGGAGATGAGTCATGCTGGTTTTGGGCCATCAAATAGCACATGTGTTGAGTTTGTTTTATGCTGTGTAAAGTCGCATATGTTGGATCAGGCTTTCAATTTTATACAAATTATGAGGAAATTCAAGTTCCGACCTGCGTTTTCAGCTTATACAACTCTTATAGGCTCTCTTTCTGTGGTTAACAAGCCTGACCTTCTGCTTACTCTCTTTCAACAGATGCAAGAGCTAGGTTATGAGGTAAATGTACATCTGTTTACCACTGTCATTCGCGCTTTTGCCCGGGAAGGGAATATTGATGTTGTTCTCTCTCTGCTAGATGAGATGAGAAACAATGCTTTTGTGGCAGACATTGTTCTTTATAATGTATGCATTGACTGTTTTGGGAAGCTTGGCAAGGTGGATATGGCCTGGAAATTCTTTCATGAAATGAAAGCACAGGGTTTTATGCCCGATGATGTGACATATACTAGCATGATCGGGGTTCTATGCAAAGCTAATAGGCTTGACGAAGCAGAAGAGCTTTTTAATCAGATGGAAGATGGACGTGAAGTACCATGCGCATATGCATATAGCACCATGATAATGGGTTACGGCTCAGCTGGGATGTTTGAAAAAGCCTATATGCTACTGGATTGGCAAAAGGAAAAAGGGTCAATTCCAAATGTGATTGCTTACAACTGCATTCTTACTTGCCTCGGTAGGAAAGGGAAATTAGAAGAGGCTTTAAAATTATTTGATGACATGAAGAAAGATGCAGCACCCAACCTTCTAACATATAATATTCTTATAGACATGCTATGCAGTGTAGGGAATGTTGATGCCGCTCTTAAATTGCAAGATGTCATGAGGGAAGCTGGATTATTTCCTCATGTTATGACTGTAAACATTATGATCAATCGTTTGTGTAAAGCCCGTAAACTTGATGAAGCTTGTTCCATATTTGAAGGGCTAGACCATAAATTCTGCACCCCAGATGCTGTAACATTTTGTACCTTAATTGATGGTTTAGGTCGCAATGGTAGAGTGGATGATGCATACAGATTGTACGAAAAGATGTTGGATTCTGGCCATGTTCCTAACGCTGTTGTATTTACATCCCTTATACAGAATTTCTTCAATGTTGGCAGGCCAGCAGATGGTCACAAGGTTTACAAGGAAATGCTTCGTAATGCCTGTTCTCCTGACTTGAGACTCCTTAATACTTACATGGATTGTGTTTTTAAAGCTGGTGACGTTGATAAAGGCAGAGCATTGTTTGAGGAAATTAAGACTAGAGGGTTTGCTCCAGATGTCCAGAGCTATTCAATATTGATAAATGGTCTTGTCAAGGCAGGATTTGCACGTGAAACCTATCAAATATATTACTCGATGAAGGAACAAGGCTATGTATTGGATACTCGTGCATATAACATTATTATTGATGGATTTTGCAAGTCAGGTAAGGTGAACAAGGCCTATCAATTACTGGAGGAAATGAGAGAAAAAGGTGCTGTGCCCACTGTAGTAACTTATGGTGCTGTAATTGATGGGCTTGCAAAGATTGACAGGCTTGATGAAGCATATATGCTCTTTGAGGAAGCCAAATCAATTGGAATCATTCTGAATGTGACTGTTTATAGTAGCCTTATTGATGGCTTTGGGAAAGTTGGTAGAATTGATGAAGCATATCTGATTATGGAAGAAATGATGCAAAATGGCCTGACACCTAATGTGTACACATGGAATTCTCTGCTTAATGCGCTGACCAAGGCAGAGGAGATCAATGAAGCCCTTGTCTGCTTTCAGTCAATGAAAGATTTAAAATGCACTCCAAATGCTTTCACTTATAGCATTCTCATTAATGGTCTTTGTCGTGTTCGCAAATTCAACAAGGCCTTTGTATTTCTTCAAGATATGAAGAAACTAGGACTAGAGCCCAATGCAGTGACCTACACTACCATGATTTGTGGACTTGCAAAGGCTGGCAATGTAACAGAAGCTTATGCACTTTTCAAGAAGTTTAAAGAAAAGGGAGGTAGACTTGATTCAGCCTGTTATAATGCTACAATAGAAGGGCTAAGCATTGCAAATAGGGCTTTAGATGCCTACATGCTTTTTGAAGAGGCCCGGCAGAAAGGATTTGACATCCATTCCAAAACTTGTGTTGTTCTTTTAGATGCATTGCACCGCGCTGATTGTCTTGAACAGGCAGGATTTGTTGGTGCCATTCTCAAGGAAACTGCAAAAGCAAAGCATGCTTCAAGATCTTTTTGATTAAATTACACTGGGTAGCAATTTTTGAGAATGAGGATTAGCCACTGTCAGTATAGCATGGTGAAATACGAGTCTTTGATCTGGCGAATAGGCTCTATCAATGAGATACCTCATCCTTTTCTGTACATCAGCTTTACTCTCCTCTCTATAGTGTGGCTTGTCTCGTTTCTGAACTTCCATCATCCAGTGTGTATATACATGGATCGCTAACACGCATGCTTCCTTAAGGCTAGTTCTCTTCTGTCTTTCCCTACTTCCTTACATTTCCTGATGATTTAAGTCAGAATTTGTTGTTACTTTGTTTTGTGCCCTAATTTATTTTATGTGTTGCAGCTCCACCGGCAATATGTCAGTAATCGACGCCTAATTTTCTTTGTGATTGAAGTGCTGCAAAATTAAAAAGTTCCTCCTTTTCCAGCGTGTGCACTTCTCTAACATTGTTATGTGCGGTAACTTATCTAAATGCTAAGCTACTGTGATTTGCGCATAATTTCAGTACTTTATGTGAAATTAGTATACTCCATTGGAGATAAATTTTTGGTTCATATAGTCTACCCCATCCTCTTGGGATGAAGGCTTTGGCTTTGTTGAATTGTTTTGAATATTAATTTATTATTTCCAAAAATAGAATAATTAGTTTCATAATAAATCGTTTATTACTTTTGGTTATTACGTAGTATAGTTAGCTTGTTTTCTCCTTGCTTCATCATGCTGTGCGCTTTTGTCTTGATAATATATGTAAGGTAGGGGAAGATATATATGTATGTATTTGTTGAAATCTGGGCTATTTTGGTTGTTGATGTTGAGTTGAAATTTCTTTTGAATGAATGTATGTCTTAAAGTGGATGGGGACTTTCAATTATTAGTCAGTTAGGGATACAGAGGAATTGGGCTTGATTATTTTTTATTTTTATTTTCTTAAAATATAATTCATGTTTACTTTGTGAGGATGCCATGCCTTCACATTTTACTCTTACAGTTTCAATTACATATTTTCTCCGACAAATAGTTTGTCATTATATGTTATTGTGCTTGTTGAATGCATGTTAGTTGCTTTTAATGCGTGTTATTTCTTGGATTATTTGAATTCTAAGCTTTAAACTTTATTTATACTGCTATTCTGTTGATATCTTAGTATGAGGGCATGCAATTTTTCTTTTGCTGCAAAATTTTCCTGTTTGACCTATATGAACCACCTATGTACTAGTTTAGTCTTGATAGAATAAGTTTGTTTTTATTTGGTACTTCATAACCCTGTTAATTCTGTCCTGTATAATCTGTCTCTATCTACTACTGTACTACTAAAAGAATTAACTGGATTGGGTTACTTGGAAGTTGGAAGAAATTTGTATAAATTTTCCATCAAAATTGTATGCTTAGATCTCTGAAGTTATTTTCCTTGTAAAACTCTATCCATATCAGTAGAGGAAAAAGATGGTTTTTACTCCGTTAAGACAAGGTTTAATAATCTGTAACTTCTACTAAACCGTGGCAATGTTACTGTTGCGCTGCTGCTTCTATAACATCTGTATAATGGTGAACGCTTTTGCATAATTGTTTTGAACTTTTAGTCAGTGGTGTTTATGAAGGGGGCACCTACCTGAACTTGTAATGCAAATATTGTCTTAATGTCCTTTTTTCTCTTTTCTTGAACCGGGCTAAGCTCCCTCGCATAGCTCTATTTGTATGTTCTGTTAGGAACGTTTGCATGATTAGTTATGCCTGTTGTCTGTTTATGGGCATTATGGCATCTTAGTAAAGCATACCGGCATACAACAATATTTTTGACGATGATGATTATTTGAAAATATTTCCGGGCATGAAATCAATGTCATCTTTTACAATCAGCATTTTTATGCTTTATTGATTATGGTTCCTTAGTTTATTAGATCGCATTCCTTCTAAATAAGTATTAAGAGGTCTAGCAGGATCAATCATTTTGGGTTTTGTGATCATTTTTTGGGTTTTGTGATCACATTCATTCCAGATGGCAATAGCTTATTGCTGCTTCCTTATTCTAGTAGACGTTTCCTTGGGTTTTGTTACTTTAGTTGCAACATTAGTTGCTTACGTGGCCACGTGGGTACACTTATGTGTTTTTCATGCTCATGTGACTAACATATTATATTGGGTTAGATAATTATACCATTTTTACCAGGAAAATCTAGAGTTACATTTGGTGGGCTTTTGTTTTCCTTTCTTATGGAACATTTTTTTTTTTCCTTTTCCATTTATTGTTTTACTGCTGAATCTGATTAGATTTGATGTGAGCTTAGTTACTTGTATAATTTTACTTTCTAATTTTTTCTTTTGCTGGTGGTGGACGTATACACATACTGCTTACCATGACTATAAGGGAGGATTCTAAGTTAGCTCTGTATTATATTAAGGGGTTGGGTAGTGGTCTGGTAGGCGCGTAGGATCCCTATACAGAATGGACGAAGAAGAGAGGGGGGGGGGGTTAAGAATATAGGACAGCCCATAAATCCAGTGGGACTAGACCCTCATCTAAGGAGGAATCAGGGTAGAAGACAGCTCATTGCCCCAATTTGCAGGGTAGCTGTGTAATTCAATCTGTATCAAGTATTTGTGCTGAAGTTTTGAAATTGCTTAATGTTTTTGTGCATGCTTTGTGATTATACTCTCTTATCAGTGCTATTCAGCTGACTTCAAAATAGAGATTGACTAAGAGAAAATAATAATAAATAAGCTCCTGAATCTTATGCAAGTTGATCAGAAATATCTAATGCCATTGAAATAAATTTATATGAATTATATCTGGAAGTTGTTACAATGATCAGTGAACACCAAGTAGATGCAAGGGAATGTTAGGAATTGAATAAAGAGATGCTAGAGTTTCCCTTTGTCAATATTTGTGTCAGTATGTATTATGTAATGGTAGATGAACCTGATCAATGTGATATGCTGGTGTTCTTTTCCATTTAGCTAATGTTTCTTCCATCACAGGGTCTGCCTTCGTTTACTTAGCAAGTGGACAGACTTCAAAGCAAGCATCTTCCGTGACAACAATTTTGTGAAACAGCCAGGTTAGCTTTAAGTAATATAATTTCTTAAGTGTCGCTCGATAAGATTCATGCCCGGGATCAGGTTTATGTGAATTGTGAAATAATGTTTTGAGTAAGATCACTTTTTTTTTTTGTTAAATTTTTTTATACAGTGTTTAGTCTTGTCTGTTCATTTCTCTTGCCCTGTTAGACATTACATTATGGAAATTTTTTTATTGAGATGAAAGCGTTGACTATTATTCTGATGTTATTAATGTTTTGCAAAATCCTGGTTTAATCTGACTTGCTACACAATAGCATACATGTTTCTTCTGATACGTGACCAGTATTTAAACAATCTAAAGCACCAGAATTTTCATCGTTTCCTTATTACCTGTTTGTTGTAGCATCCTGTTTCCTAGCATCTGCTAAAATCTAAGAAAAAGATAAGACTAACAGTGCTCTGGTATTTCCAGGAAATCTCATGTTGCTGAAGCTGTGACTTGTTTGGCCAGACTTGAAACATGATCTGAGCACTGCTAAATTATCTTTGTACAGCAGCTGCAGGCTATAACGGGTTTGATAAAGGCTTTTTTTGTATGGTTTTCATGGCTAGATGGCCTCATTCATGTTTATGGTATGTTCTACCAGCTTACCCGGCCATAATGACAGGCATCTCCTACTTCAGACCTTCCAACATAATCAGCCTGTTATGACCTTGTTTTCGTTAAAGATCTTTTCAGAGTGGAAGATTCCATGAACAAGGATATTTCTAAAACATCATCAATTGCATAAGTATTAATTGTTCTCTCCAGAACTAACTTAGGCATGCCGTATTTCGATCAGCTGATGATGTATGAAATAATACTACAAAGTATTAGCTAACCATACAAGATTAAAATTTGGTCCTTTGAAGTATGGAATTGGTGCAAGATTAAAGGTTCGGAATGTGGTATTTCGATCATTTGGTGATGTACTCTGTACGAGTAGTGTAGCAATTCACTTTCTAAATAGTTATGCAACTTATACTAAAATTTTACCCTGATTCTTGTATATTAATCTTTTTCCTATTAAGTCATCAAATACTCGAATATCATGATTTTAAGTCATTATAAGCTAATATAAAGTATCCAAATCAAATAAATAAAATATTTCTTGATCTTCTCTACATCAATGTCTACGTTTCAATTTCCTTGTTCCCACCAAAAAATTGATAGTCATCCTTTAAAAATCGGAATACAATTTTATCTCCAAGTGAGACGATTAATCGGACATCGACTCGATGACGCTGGCCAACACTCCTTCGTAGAAATTATACCATCCCATATCAACACCGAAATAACATTGTATCGGATCCCTTAAATCCTTATTGTGCTCAACGTCACTCTTATATTTTCGCGTTAATGAAGTCTTTGGGTCTCTTTGTACAAGATATAAGACAGTTTGTTAATAATGTGCTTTTAAGCCTCTCAAAAGAATTTAATTATAGTTGTGATCATCGTAATCGTAAGTATGTATGAAACATACCTATTCATACTACTTATGTTTGCGATTATGAGATGTTTATTATGGCGTTGGCGGAGAGGGTGCCGTTTAAGGAGGAGGTGAAGCTTACTCCGGCAAGCAAGACGTCAATCGAGGCATTAAAGAGGTCGATCATCAAGGATTATGAGAATGCTAACTGCGCTATTTGTTTTGAAGAATTGTATGATAACAAGAAAGAGGCAAAATTATTGAAGGTCACGATCCCTTGTAAACACGAGTTTCATGAGGGTTGTATTGTTAAATGGCTTCATAACCATCGTTTTTGCCCTCTTTGTCGATTTGAACTACCTGTGAGAGTTTCTGATAATTCATAATGTAAATTAAGAATAAAACACAACTTATGCATATGAGTTCATGAGATGATGAGATTGATCTCTAAATTTAGTTTTCAATAAAATTCGAGAACTTAATTTTTTTTATTTTATGTTATTCATAAAATATTTCTTTATGAAGACCTTATATCTCTAATGTTTGCGGGTATTTCCTATGAAAAAAAAATGTTAGCGGGTAATTTAAGTGAATAGAATTATAGAACAATTAAAATTAAACTAAAGAATGCACAACTAAAGAAAGTAAAAAGCAAAGCAAAGCAAAGAAAAAAAAAAATTCTCTTTGTTACAATGTACTACATACATGCGAAGTATATGATAAGCGTAGACTTATGATGTAAATCTAAATCAACTTTTGGTAGTCTAATAATAATTGTATTTTTGGATTGATAGTATATATATACACTCTAAATTCCGATACGCTCAAATATATTGCTTTATGCTAATTACTACAATAGAACATTAAAATTCCTCGCTCAATTGGCAATCTTTTTTCTTTATTTGATTAGTCGTCCATCATGTCTTTCACAATCGCATCCAAAGCTACAATATCTAATAAAGGTCACACAATCAAATCTTAAGTTTCATACCATTAGTATTATACAACTGATTGGGGTAAAAATTACCCCTGCCACGTGACCCAATGAGGGCTTGACACGTGTCACCCTCATACAGGCCCGGAGGGATCCAATGAAAGGATGCCACGTGGCATTGAACCCCCAATGGGGGAGCAGATTCTCATATGCTATAAATAGAGGAATCATCCTCATTTGTTGACATTCATAAATACATTCAAAAAAATCCGAGCAATATTAATTGCGGAATCTCCCTGAATCAGTGAGAAATACCCATTTACTTTTCGTCCGTTTACCCATCCGGAATCATACTAACTTGATCTTCGGAGGCGGAACTCCACTCAGCTGGAGTTTCGTGGTTTTGCAGGTACAGAAGTCAGGCGCTCATACCCAGTATTATAACTTTCCCGAGGGACTAAAAACTCTCGAAACATTTGGCGCCGTCTGTGGGGAAAGTACTGTTGAGATGGCATCTGATGTTGTACCGAATGCAGAGGGCAGCCGGCCTACGGCTGACCCTGAGGTCCACAGGGACCATGAAAGTGGCAGTGGTGACGACTACAATGTCGAAACCTACATGGCCCCAGACGGGTCATTCCGTTCTAGGCGCACCCGTTCCAAGGAAACAAGGGAATGGGGCCACGATAAAGTTGGTCCAAGCAACCCAGGCGGCAAGCCTGTGGGACAACCCCAGGCGGCGGAGGGTGCTGCCCCCGTCACCAGAGACGAGCTCATGAAGTTCATGACAAGTTTCAAAGGGGAAATAAAGGACATTATCAAGAAGTCAACTGGCTCAAACAAGGGTTAGTCGGCGAAGAAGCCTTCTCCCTCCGGGAAGAAGCAAATCAAAGACCGGGTGCCTACTCCGCACCCCAAACCCAAGAGGATGGATGGGCCCCTGATCGACCTCTCAAAACTTCGTTCCCTTGAATCAGGGAAAAGGAAGGCCATCCGGCATACACAGTTGGATGGGTCAAAGAAGACTTTCTCTGATGCCCGAATGTTCATCCAGGAGAAGAGAAGTCAGAGCATGTCTCACTCGGCCTCCACGTCGACCTACTCAGACATTTTCCAAAATGCTTCAATGAAGCATTCGGAGACGCAGCAAGGGAGTCAGTCACGCGGCGTGTCCGCACGTACTGGCCCTCACGTGATCCAGCAGGCTCCGTATGTGCCCCAACAACAATACGCCCCGTATGGATCCAGCAGGCTCTGATTCATGCAGTCGGCTCCCTTCGGGGGTCAGGCGGCATACCAGGTCCAGCCTATGGATTGGCAGCTCCGGCTGCTTAACCTTAGGGAACAGCCTTCGTCTTTCTCCGGGGAAATAACCGAGGCGGCACAGCCGGCCAAGGTTAAAAATGTGTTGGTCGGTACCTACGACGGTACCACTAACCCGGAAGACCACCTTATGACATACACCAACCTCATGTACCTACAGGGGTTGGATGACGCCGCCTGGTGCAGATGCTTCCCGGCTACTTTGAAGGGCATAGCCCAACGATGGTTTGGCAACTTGCCGGCTGGATGCATCAATAACTTTAAGATGCTTGCATACCTGTTCGCGTCCAACTTCTCAATGAACATCCCTGCCAAAAAGACAAGTTTCGACCTAGGGGCTATCAAGCAGGGTGACAAGGAGGGACTTCGGTCCTATGTCAGGCGGTTCAATCTGATGAGAATTCAGATTCAGGGGCTGTCTAACGAAGTTGCATATACAGACTTCTTTAAGGGTCTGAAGGATGGGTCAACTTTCAAATTTGACCTGGTCCGAAAGAGGGTAGCTACCCTCCAGGAGACGCTGATGGAGGCTGAGGCCTATATACAGGCAACTGAACTCTACGCCATCAAGCACCCGTCGGAACCCAAGTGGTCCGACAGGAGTGATAGTCGGCCTACTCAGCCGGCCAAGAAGGAAGAGAAGAAGAGAAAAGAAGTCTGGGTGGCAAATCGCACTGGTCAGCCGTCCCAGAAGAAACAAAGAAAGTTGGAACCGTACGTCCCCAAGTACGAGTTCAACAAAGACAGCTCCTCCATCCTCATAGAGATAAGAGACCGGTTGACCATTGAGAAACCGGCTGCAACGAAGAGCTCTGTCAAGAACAGATACAAGAGCAAATACTGTCAGTTCCATGAGGATGTCGGCCACGACACCAGTGGTTGCTATAGCCTTAGGTGGCTATTGGACCGTCTAGCTGACGAGGGAGACTTGAAATCCTAACTGGTGAAGTCCAAGGGCAACCCCAAATCAGGCAGTGGACAACCGTCCAAAAAACCGGCTGCGAGCTCTGAAACTGATGAAGAGCACATCTTCACCATCGCAGGCGGCTTCGCAGGCGGAGGTCCTACCATCCGGGGCACCAAGGTTAACATCCGAAAGCTGTCCAACCTAGAGGATGAGGGTCAGGCGTCGAAAGACACCTTCCCTGAGGTCTTCATCTCTGAGAAGGATCGGGGCATGGTCAGGCGGCCTCACGATGACCCCATTGTCATCGAATGCAAGGTTTCTGATTAGGGGATTTTTCCCACCAATTACCATCTGACAAGTGGACCAATCAGGTTCCGCCATGCGTCTGTCACATGGGCCAATAGGAGCCTGCCACGTGTCAAGCAATGATCCGTCCACTATGGACCAATTACGACACGACACGTGTCCTTCCCATGACACCTGGGATAACTGGTCACCAAGGCCCAACTTCTGAGGGAAGCCCAATCAGCCCAAGGTTAACCTAAACCTAGATTGGCACGTTTCCCGTGGTTATAAATACCTCCCTTAATCCTCATTAAGAGAGGGAAGGCAGATTACACACATTAAACTCTCTCACCTAGAGAGACCCAATCACTTTAATTTCCGCATTAATTACTCCTTAATCAAGTACTAACTTGACCGTCGGAGGCGGATCTCCAATCATCCGGAGCATCCGTTTGTTTTGCAGGTACATGCGTCCGGTTCCAGTCTCGGAATTGTAACTCTCCCGCAGGACATCAGAAAACCCCGAAACATTTTGGCGCCGTCTGTGGGGAGAGTACTTCTGAGATGGCATCCACGTTTGTACCGACTCCTGAAGGGAGACGTCCCCTGGACGACCCTCTAGTTCAGTCGGACCACGATACTGAGAATGAATTTGAAGTTGAACCTCACACAGCTTCAGACGGGACCCTAAGGGCCCGACGTACCCGTCATACCGAAAGGAGGGAACGGGAACATCTTCATACAGGAAGCGAGCCAGCAGGCGCACCGCCTGTTCGGCAACAGCCGACTGATGGGTCTGCTCCCATCACAAGGAACGAACTCATGACCTTCATGAGGGACTTCAAGGGACAAATTCAAGAGTTGATCAACAAGAAGCCGCCTGCTCTGGACAAGGAGCAGTCGGCTAAGAAACCCTCCACTTCACAGAAGAGGAAGCCAGTTCAAGAGCGAGAGGCGACCCCTCATCCTAAATCTAGGAAGCGGGAGCCACCTGCCCTTGATTTCACAAAATACCGTTTTCCTACTCCAGGAAATAGGAAACATGTTCGTCATATTCAGGCGGACGGGTCGAGGAAAACATACACAGACGCTCGGCTACTGCTAGAGCAGAAGAAGAGTGACCGATTGTCAGAGTCGGCCTCTACTTCAAACCTCCAAGACAGTCTGCGAAATACCTCGATGAGGCATACTCAGTCG